TTTTCAGCAGTCAATAGTTTCATGGCCAGAAGGCAAGATTTCGATCCATGCTGTTGGTTAAATAGTTTTTGGCGACAGGGGCAACGAGGATCATCCAATCCACGCAAAATTTGTATCCTTTGTCACGGTTGACGTTTTCGTAAGATTGGATTCTACTATGATTCTGATGAAACTACTGACTGCTACGGACGATCAGCAACATTCACGAAACTTCACCACTAACACACCTTCAAAAGGCCCCTGAAACACAGGTCGAAACTTCCGTATTGGTCAGTCACCGGTAAATACGGTATCTTTCGCTTTGTGTATAAGTAAACCGTGTTTTACGCTATTTTTTCAGTATGACCATCAAAGCATGAATGAAACAGTCTATCTTCAGAAGCATAGTCATGCGACAAAACATGAAGCTAAAAGGGGCAACCATATTCATGTAATTTCATTAGAAAAACGGTTACTGTTATTGAACTCGCTGTATCGAAAAACGAGACGGATAGCACACAACTATATTATGTACTACAATATGGTTGGATTAGTGTTTTACTGTTTTGCATCTAATCCGAAAATTGTGCATATTGTGATGCAACCTTCATCTCCACGGTAATCGCTCAGAATGAGGTACAGTAGTACAGTTTCTTCAAACAGAACACTAAAAATATTTTGCTCATAGACATGTATGACAGGAAACAGGAGCGAACCACCACCCGTTCAACTGCTTATAAATCTGTCAGCTTTTGGACAGCTTTAATCTTACCGGATCGTAAAGTATCAGTGTCAGATGATGGTATTGACGTTCACCATCCTGCACCAATGTCTAATAGTCGCCACAAAAAACCCCTAATGCTCGTGATCGTCCACAATAGTATCTGGCCGGTATCATTTTTGGGCCCCCTACTCTTTGATCGAGAAGGTTATCATTTCTAAGGGTGCATTCGCCGAACATGATTAAGCATCGTCGTTGTGACTTCTCGCTCGTGATAAATGGCAGTCTAACTCAAACGGTATTATAGGTCGCCCAGATTCGAACTCTTTTGAAATGCATGACGCCTGTAATTTTCTATGCATTACCGGCAATTCTCGCCATGAGTAATCAATTACCCACGACCATAAATTGGCATAAGACCGAGGGCAGACTTAAATACAAACAGCTTCGTTTACAAACTGAGCTCTGGTTTAGTCATGAAGATTCAGATCTCAGATCAGATGACTTCGTTTGTCATTCACACAGGCCGCTGATCTCTTCTTTCCATTATTTCCGTCACTCGAAAATACGATGCTGAGGCACTTAAACCTTTTCATCCGATTCAGCAAAGCTTCAACAACGTTTAGAGCCAGGAAGCAGCGGACTAAGAAAAAATCACAACAATCGAATCGGTTTTGCATGTGAGCAACATCATATTCACCTGAGAATCTTTCCAGCGTATGCTGATGAGCCTCATAGCACGTAAATAAGGCAAAGTGGTCTGCAAGCTTCTTATCTTATCATCTTGCAGAGATTCTCTAAGCTGAAGCCAGTGATCCTGAGAATGTGAACAAGATTTGAAGGAAACAGAACGCCCAATTCGCAGGGTCAAATGGTGATACTGAATTTCAACATTTACTTACATTATTTCTTCTGGAAGCATCATCAGAAATAGGAAACGGCAGTGATCTCTCGATCCCCTGCTCAGTGCGCTTTATATGATAGTGGGGCCAGAATGAGATACTTAGAGCAGTTCAAATACCACGAGAGCACATTTTCGAGTGATGGAAGATGGGAAAAAGAGATCGAACGACGATTCGGTACGGCAAGTAAAGGGATTCGTGAACTGTACCGGATCGTGGTAACGAAGCCGAAGCTAAGTCTTCAAACAAACTCACCTTAAATCAGTTTTTACTCCCACCCTCACCCTACGGTAATATAGCTTGGATAGTGACAGAAAAAATGCTATCTTAAGTACAAGCGGCAGAGATGAGATTTATCAAATAAATCACTTGAGTAACGCGTTTGGCTGAAATCCGGTACCCCGTGATTCGAGAATCCATGAAGATCGAGCCGCTACTTCTCAATATTAAAAGATCGCAACTAAGATGGTTCGGCCATGTCTCATGAATGCCGCGTATAAGAAGTAAATGACAACTGCTCCTTGCTCGACCGACCGACAGTAGACTTCGAGAAAGGCCTAGAAAGACTTATCAAGGATCTCAAACCCGACTTATGAACTTACCACCTGAGGTCGAATCCACTACTCAAGATCGACAACAGTGGCGTCACACCTCCTGAGACCGCTGCCCCTTCGATTTAAAACCGAACGTAGGTCCTGAAAATAGATGGACTGCTTAGTCGCCATAATGTTTAGCCGCTGTGTGAAACTGCGGACTGCTTATGATTCGTAATGTCACAACGATATCTTTTTCGTGTCACCATTTTGATGTTTCATTTTCGTTTTTTAGATATCGTATTGATTTCCTATCTGATTTGTTCTGTTTGTATTTCTCGTCTTCTGCGAACTTTAAATATTAACGATACCGGTAGCTACCATATAGATTTTGACGACTGACGACTGACCTACTCTCACAAACAGAGTTGTTTTGATTGCAATACCCGCTCTAAGTTAGATAGTCAATTTCACTTTGATTTTCTCTGACAACATTACTTCGTACTTCAGTATAAAGCTGCACTAAAACGGTACCGATACAAAACACTAAACGGTACTACAGCACGATTTCGAAGCTTGTAGAGAGTACTGCTTCGTTCGAGGCTTTTACCTGAACCTGAATATCAGTTCTACGGTAGAACGCTAAGTCAATAACTAAAACCGACTGACATTGGCTTTCATTTCGTTTCGCTTTCGTCGTCGACAAGCTGCAGTTGATGCTTAAAAGCTGAAGTGGTGAAAAAGTCAGAATGCAGGCGACAACACAACCAAAAATGTCATGCTAATGCAAACGGATGAAAATGACAATCCCGTCAAACGAGCATAAGGTTCTGGCACCTGATTTTTTGCATACACTGTCAATGTATCTTCCGCTATACTTTATCACAGATCTTTACCAGGTCTAAGAAGACTAGGTGGATACGTTGCTTCCTTTGCAAAATCCTTAATCTGTTTCTAACTTATAGGCTTAAACTTTTACAGAAGCGTACAGCAGAAGAATGAGGTCGCTATCAAACGAAGACAATGTCAAGGTTCCATAAAAGTGTCGATTCGTGTCGATGAAGACCTAGGCTTCTGCACATAAACACATGGTTGCCTGAACCTGATGGGTGTGGTATCAGAAAACATGAAACAAATATATTTAATGAAGTGAACAACATACCTGAGGAATAATGGAAATTTTACGACGAAGATCATGGAGACCAACCGATTTTGTACTGACGTCATCGATCAGTATGGTGCCCTCTGGCTCGACCACGCGGAAAAGCGCGCTTATGACAGAACTTTTACCTGAACCGGTTCGTCCGACCAGCCCAATCTGAAAAATGAAGTTTGTAGCGAAGAACTGCCAATTTGTAGAAGTCAATGACGAATTCGGAGTACAGAGTGAGAGCCGCTAGAACCACCGTTTGACTGTCTTGGCAAATTGATTAGCGTTTTGTACAGTATTTTATTATATAAGCCAACGCATTGAGCCAACCAGTCGATAAATACGTTGGCATCTTTTTGCATAGTATGAAAATGCATTAAAAATTAACGCAGTACGATGGATAAGTAATATTAATCGTCGGTTTAAACCTCAATATGCATGGTCTGAATAAGAATGGAGGGAGATATCGGTTCGATGACTGTTCAAATAAAAATAACCCGTTTCATTACTTGTGTTGTGAACCAAGGCAACAAGTCAATAAAACGATACAAACATCTGAGTCAGTTTCGACAATGTACACTGACGTCCTAATCAGGAGCATATTGTATGATTTGAACTGAAAATCACGGGACATTTGAGTGACAAAATTAATGGTTTCATTGATTACTGCAAATAAGTACGCCAATGAAATTCCAGCTGTCACTGAACTTCAATGAGCTGGTACCTTCGTTATCCATTCGACGTTTTTAAGCCAAGAAGCGTAACGCTTTTATGAATAACAAACAGGTCGATATTTGACACCTCTCGTTGACACGAATAACAGTAATCGGGCTAAAGGTGTGTCTAGAGTAAAAGGCATTGAAACGATACCGGAATGCTATGCCTTCCATATTCTCAAAGCTGTGAGATGTTTCGCAACATTTATGTTCATCTTTCTAATGGTGTTCTTAATGTAGTATGTCGCATCAGTAACGGATTGAAACACTGGCTGCAAACGCCAAATTGAAATTATGTATATACATATAATATTTACCTTTTCATGCTTTCCAATCGTTAAGCAAAAGTCGTTCAAAACATACGGCCCATTCATGGCGTATTTCAGAAACACGTGGTCAAATTTTATGACTCCGGCAGAAGGCCAGCTGCTATCAGGAGTAACCACGGCATCAGACGTTTCAACGGAGCCCTCTGGAGGCAAAGCTGCGTAGTTGAGGATGCGCTCTACTGAAACCATCTGAAATAATTCACTTAAATCTTTCAGCTTTCCATAATGCTACGGCGTTACTAGACGGAAGGTGGAAAATATGAAAAGTTTACAAAAAAGCAATCATCGGCAAAACTTCAAGCCAATTTAGTGCCAAAGGATTCAGAAAATGGACTCGTAACCATCGAAATAAGCATAGAAGAAGACCTGTCTTTTGCGTGATTAAACTCTGCTGTCAGTGAATACTTGGTTCAGAAAAAATTATGCAGTGATATGCGAGTTACGGAAGTGACAACGAAAAATTGTGGCTTTCTCCATTTCAATATTCTATCCCTCACTACCCTGTGACTATCGCCAACAACGACAACGCGTGCAGCGAAACAGTAATTATAGAAGCAAGCATCCAAAAGCGAGAACAAAGCAATGATAAGCAGAAGCACCAAGCAATCTAAGTTTTATAATTAATTGAACAAATTTACCAAAAATAAATATGGACTTTTGCTTCTAAACAGCAATGTCGTTAGTGCAAAGGCAGCAGAGAAACACCACCAGACACTAGTGACGATACGCCAGCACCAGCGATTACATTCCGCATGACAAACTGTAAAACGAGGCACAACATTAGAGAAACAAAATAAAAAATCACTTACGAAACCGAATACATGCACAATTATTGATGAATTATCACCGTAAACTTTTTGAAACTGAATAAAGGTCCGGACAATAATACCGCGTTCTCCATTTCCGTACTCTGACGAATGATCCACTGGAAAAAGCCCATCACTACCATCGCATAATATAATGAGAGGCCAACTGTTCCAGGGTCAGACGCTTCACCTAAAGCAAAAAAAATTCGACCGGGTCCTTGTAACATTTTCCGTACAAAAATAATCCCTCAGCCTTCATACGATATTATAATTTTAAGCTAAGATACGCAAAGTCGCAAACTGACCGTAGGGGAAATTGAGCGTACATTAATAAGTGGATTGCTTAAATTACGGACTTCATGTTCTAGACTGATATTAACAATGTGTGCGAAACGCTTCGACAGGGTGGGAACGTGTCTGACGTTTGGATGTCAACCATGCATCGAAACAGAATTCAACTCAATAAATGACATTTTTGAGTTACGTCACAGATGAACATCACAGTCCAACAGAAACGGAAATCATATTACATAAAAAATACAAAGATTCAGCATTGCACCTTGTTCACGGAGAATTAGAGTAGTAAACAAGTATCAGGATATATTCGATCAGCAGATAAATCAGGCTAAAGCAAAAGGAGAAACAACGGCAAAATCAAGGACAGCGAATAAGCAACAGGGAGAAGTCTGTTACACTGATTAAGTGCAACAGCAGAGCGATAGGAAAACTTGATGCTGTCCGATTACGCACTGAGGAGAGCATGAATGATTTCAAAAAGAGTTCTATGCTAATAGAAAAATGCATAAATTTAGACTGCGGACGCACTAAATCAAGACAATGTGGACCCATTACGCAATGAACGCTGTAAAATCTATCATCATGAGGACGTGGCGTCATTCAAGTTGATATTTCACATACCAGCTGATTGCGCCATTTCTGGATCCGGTATATAAGTTATCAGTTTGCTTCATGTCAGCATACTAAGCTCATAAAAATAAAAATGTCATAAAAATATGAGATTGCCACATTACTGTGACACTCGACAGTGTTCCCAAAACGAAAGGGTTTACATCGACAGTAATTAGGCACAAGCAAAGATATATCTCTGGTCAATAATCAGCAAACATAGAAGGCCCCTTTAATAACGTTCATCACTGCCAATCGAAGTCAAAAGTCTTCAGGATTGGAAGGTCACACGGTATCGTCATTTAGAAGCGGTATTGGGATGCTGATGCGCGGCAACAGCTGACGCACCTACGATTGTTGATCAGTTGACCTTTCTGCAGTTCAACGGATCGTCCCGTACGGATAGCGAAGTGGACGCCGCATAACCATGCATTCATAAGTTAAACGGGGAGAACAAGAATGATAAGTGGGTGAAATTCGAAAGACGACAAGACAAGAGGCTGATGACTGCTTTTTACGCAAGGGGCAAGTTTATCAGCCTCTTGCCATAAAAGAATGTTGAGCAGCCACTAGTCATTACGGAACGATCGTGCTCATGCCGAGTAAGGCCAGCGGATAAAACTCCAAACATTTAGTCTTCTTCGCTTACTCTAAGAAATCAACAGCACCGCGAAAAAGGCACAACGTAATTTCATGCGGGTTTGGCTACAAACGGCAAGATTCCATTTTAGGGCATCCCTAAACAAGACGTGCGAACAATGAGAACTTACCGGAAGCAGCAACAATGCTGCCGAAAGCGACCATCGTGATGTACGACGCACACAGCAAATCGATGACGACAGCAAAGAAACGGGAAGTGCTGAGAAACTGAGAAAACGCGGAAGTATGCAAGTCCTTAAAAGAGTTTCGTAAAAACCGTAGACCATGAATGCGATGATATAGATCGACAAAACGACGACGAAGATGTCAATTAGCAACGGGACCGCTGCCTGCTTTAAAACAAAAGGGCAGACCAACGCGATGCCACTATAGCACGTCAGAGAAGGCTCCACGGAAACGATACCGACAGTACGAGCTTACAGTCGTAAATTTGAATATATCCTTACTCAGATGGAAAGAGCAGGAGTTAATGGATGAGGCCGCATGGTACTAACTTGGCATATTCAGACTCTCGTCAACAAAGCGCAAGGCTCTGAAATCCTGAATCTGAGATGGAAGCTATTCTACTTAGGTGACATTACGACAAGCGCTCAGGCCGGCGTTGGTGTTCCAGTAGAACTCAATGTCGCTGACAGAATCACGGAATGGAGGCCTGATAGCAGAAGAGTAACAATCTTCCGACTAAGGCTACAACACGCTAAAGCCTTGACTTTGTTACAGGTCAGTGAGCCCTTTTTGGAGGGAAAACATGAGTCGTTCCTTGAAGAAGTGGAACATGTCCTGTACGAAGTGCCGACTACGGACTTTTCCGTTCTAATCAGCGATTTCAATCTCGGTGTCGGAACAGAAGACAGTGAAAAATGAAAAGGCGTGATTGGAAATAACGGTCCTAGCGACCTCAACAACAACGTCATGAAGTTCTTGCGGTTTTGTACAAACAACGGATTGTTCATTATGAACACCTTCTTCGAGCATCGAAAGTGCATCAGTACACCTGGTACCGGGAAGCTTGTGCACAGA